TCCTTTCATTTATGTGATAGGCCTGTATTTAAAATGAATATTTACCAGAAACTAAAGGTATCTTATATTATTAGATATATTATTATAAAACATGCTTTAGTTAAGGAGTTCTTGATACTTCAAGTGCAAAATGATGATATAAAACCTTGATAACAATGTACTTTTAAATATCAATCATGTTTAGAAGGTAGTTTTATGGGCATCTTATGGATTTACTCGTACTTGGTGATAACTTGCTCTCAAATCCAACTTTGTAAAGTAAAAAGCTCCATATAATTCATCCAACATATCCTCAACTGTGGGAATTGGAAAGCAATCTTTAACAGTTGCATCATTGAAAGTGTGATAATTAGTATAAAACCTCTAATTCCCATCTTTTTTCTTCACTAGTAAAACATGTGAGGAGAAGGGACTTGTACTAGGATGAACAAGCCCTCGTGTCAACATATCTAGGACCTATTTCTCAATCTTATTTTTCTGATAATCTACATACCTATAAGGTCAAACATTAATCGGTTCAATTCCTTCTTTAAGAGTGATTATGGCTGATTCTCCCATAAAATTTCCATTGTCAATCAATGCCTTGGAGATCCACTAGTACCTCCTCAAACCGCCCCCGACATTTGAGACTTTCACCATTGGCAACTTGTACTGTGAAAGTTTCTATAGGCAGCACTAGTAATCATAATAGGTTAGCAGTTCACTCACTAACGAAGTTGTGAGTTGAACCACTAACTATAAATCTAATGATGTTGCAGGAGCCAATCTTAGTTGCTATTCGCATAGTCCTGGGCGTTGTCCATCCTAACAATACATGCAATGTAATTGATGATCCAGTTAGGTCCTCATACTTCTCCTGGTGTAGTTGTTCTTCAAGATCATTGTCACATAAGAAAGTGTCACTGTCATTGTATCCTTCCAACATAAGAATGTATGACCCTTGACATTTGTGGCTTGTAGTGAATCATTCATTACAATTAAAACATAAATGTTGGACTCTCCTCCACTGCATTTCTTCCCATGAGAGTCTTCTGATAGGATTGGCAGGGGTTGGCTGTACTGCTTGGTTGCTAGGTGAAAGAGCTAGAGGTGCTTGCAATGATATAACAGGTATGATAAACTTTATTTGGCGGGTAAATTGATCATCTTTCATCTATGCTAAGCTGGTGGCTTCCTTTAAAGTTTGTGGTTTGAACATTTGGATCTCATCTAGTATGTCTCTTTGTAATCACCTAAAAATGTTCCCATAAGAGCTCTTTGTGTCCAACCTCGTACACGATTGCCCAAGCGTTTAAATTCTTGTTGATAGTCATGCAACGATCCTTCCTGCCGTATCCTTGAAAGAGCTTCGTCAAAATCTTCACATTCTGAAAGGCCAAATCAAGCCCACAGTTCACCTTCAAAATTAATCCACAAAAGAACACGCCTTTCCTCTTGGAATATCCAGCGGATCCACTGCCACCATTGGTTGGCCTCTCCTTCCAAGTGGTAGGAAGCCAAAGAAACCTTTTGAATTTCAAGGGTATTTTGGAACTCAAAGAACTGGTTCACCCTATTAAACCACTCCATTGGATCATCTCCTGGAAAATGTGGGAATTCAAGCTCTGCTATTTTAGATGATACAATAAATCATCCTCCATTGTGGCCTTCATGGTGTTGATTATCATAATTTGAAGATTCCTGGTCTATAAGGAGTACGTTAAACAAACGGTTGAGAGTCTCTTCCAAAAGTTGCAGTTTTTCTATCATGCCAAGCTCCATCCGATGTAGCCTATTTTGCACTTCACCAAGCCCTGCCTCTAACTGCTCAATACACTCTTTATTGGTTCTCATAAAATAATAACCAGGGTCAGAAACTAATGATAGGTCACAACAAAGATAATGAATTAACAAAATAGATAATGCATTGTTTTCTCTTCTGGTGAGAAAGTATCGTTATTCTAAAATAATAATTGAATTCTCTAATAACAACCATGGTTGCTTAATATAGCAAGACTATGTATAATAGAAGCTGAATATAACTGCGTAAAAATAATAATGTAAATAATATAACTATTAAAATCTTACTTGCACGTAAACTCTTTCCACGGTATCCCACGTTCAACTGTCAACAATGTATATGCAGCATGCATGCATGATTTCTTATACTAGTCATCTATGTTCATGCAGGCTGTATGCATGATTGTGCACGTGCTGATAAATATCCCAAATATTTGGGATTTGACATAAGGCCTTTCTTTGAACGTCGTGGCCTATCAGACTCATGCAGGGAAGTTTTACAGGGCTAAGGGTATTTTGGTCTGGTTCTAGCCTTCGAACTGTAGCTACTGGCTATGGGCTGGTAATGATTCTCCCTTCAAACTCTTAGTTACTGCACGTGCAACATGTTTTAAGTTTGTACTTTCTAGCTGTGTGCTTCCATGTGTAAACTTCTTTATTCTCAGTTTTGCCATAGTCTGTGATTGTTACCTGTGTGTGAAATTCTTTCTTCTATGGTTTACTATATATTTTTCTTCTTAATGAGTTTATTGAGCTCACTGTATTACTCTTGTTTAAGCATCTTAATATCTAACAAATTCATCATGCTTTTGCAGGTTTTCTTTGTGCAGCTTATGCTTGCTGGCATGAATAAAGAAATCAAAGGACTAAGGTTCCTCCCTTGACTCCAAAAACTTGTTGCTGTTGATGACAGCATCCCTCAAGCCGATGGCATAGTATAGACCAATACAAATATATTCTGACATTCTCCATAATGCACGGTGAGATGTATTGTGTTTGAGACATGACTGCGTTTGATTCTTTCAAATATCAGAATATTTCCCTTTATTAGGTTTATTAGCTACTTAATGTATTACATAAAGCATTCAGTTGATGCTGAGCTTCTTTTACAAATTTTTAGCTTTTTTTTTCTAATTTCCCATTCAGATGTTCTGTAAGTGGTTCTGGAAAGATTACAATGCATGTTCTAGAGAAGCTTATTGCTTATGGCGCTCTTCCAATCACAGTATCAGGTACATTTAGTTGTCCGTGAATATTTTATACAATCAAATTGAGTGATGGGCTCCAGCATGCCAAATTAGTTCCCAAGTCAAAATACCTCAACAAGAACAAGCTATGTTGATCATCACAAGTCACAATATCTATATGACCTTTGAGTTTTAGTTGATAAGGTATGTAAGGTTCTTCTATTCCAACTGCATCTCTCAAAAGTGTTTCTTCCAACTTATGTAGAAGACTTGCAAGAGGAGTGACGCGTTCAAGATTTTGCAGGTCTTTTATCTTGTATCTCGTCAACAAGCATAAAAATACAGAAAAGCTTTCTATTTCTTTTCACAATTTTGTTTATTTGGTCTTCCACTTTCAGTATTTCTGATATTCAGGGGTTAATGGCCATAATGCAGTTGAGTTTTTGCTGCAGAGGATTATTTGAGTAGCAACTCTTGTAACATGTATCAAAATATTGGGCAGATTCGAAGGGATATTTGGTGGATGAGGATGGATTTGATTACATGAAAATATCTTTTCTGAGAGATATCAGAGCGCAGCAGAGAAGTTTGCGGTGTGTTTTCCTTAGTCATCATTAATCTTGTTGCTGAGGTGATTTGTTAACATTTTATGGAGTTACTATAAATGTGGAACCTGCAGAGACTACTCAAAGACTTATGCTCGATCCAAGTACTATGATGAAGCAAAACCTGAAGCAAAACCTTGGAGTGAAAGGGGTGATGTTGCATTTCCTTGTGGTTACCAGAATGAAATCGATCAATCTGATGCCATTAATCAGGTTAATTCAGGCTGTCGTATCCTTGTACGAGTTACCAGCGTAATCCCTTATGGAATTAATATTTCCTCCTTTATGACTTTGAAACTGGTGCTGGAGGGGTAGGTTATTCCAGTTAACTTGTGCGCCATAAATATTCAATACACGTTAAAAAAGAACAATGACATGAATTTATGACTACACCCCATGCTCTGGGGATGAATGTTGACCAAGCATAACTTTTGAAAAGAAATGCATCTTATCATGATTATGAAGTAGGCTTGTTTCCTTTATTTTTTTGCATGCGGAAGGTTCTGGTACTATTCGAAAGATTGTAGAAATCCAGGGGCGTAGGTGTCAAAAATCATTGAAACTTGAATAATTGCTATAGTTCCAACTTCTCTAAAGAGTGCTCTTTTTCAGGTGCTATTTTTCAGGGCTTGATGTAGGACTACTTTGGATTTTTGTCCCACAAAGGGTTGTGGTGAGCCGGGGTTGGTAATTTGCAGAATTAGGGTTGACTAGTTTCGTCAAGCGTGGCTGTGGCCAAATATGGTCTCAAAGCTGTCGCACTTGCAATCTATGTTAGAAAGTTGAAGGTGGATTGATAAGACTGGTCAATTTATCATTGTTCGTGCAAGATGGCTTTGAGTCTTCACAATTTTATTCAGCCTATTTATATGTGCTCAATCAGTAATACAGCTGGGTGCAGGTTGTTGCTGGGGAGCTTGAATTAAACCATGAATGCAATTTGCTGAACTCGTCACCTGAGGACTTTGAATCTAAATTGCAGGTAAGGCTATTTTGCTTTTATATTTTTTCATGTTTTGAATATTTTCTAGCTGTAATGGGATTTTTTTAAAGCTTGGATCTTTGTGCTCAAACTGAGAGGCTATGTCATCTGCTTGCAAGAACCACCTTGTTCAGATTTCCTTCTAAAATGACTCCAAAATAATCAACTCAAAGTTGTAAAATATTTATTTCTGGTCCAGACAGCAAATTAGATTATAATGTTTGAAGTGGCCTGAAGTGTTCTTAAGGGATCCTTCTCACTACATTACTACATTATGACTATGGTTTAGGTCTGTGTTGGGGTTCAGTAGGTGGATCCGCTCTTTGTGGGTTGTTGGTTGTACTTCATTCCTATGTTCTCCTTTCTGATGACTGATGAAAATATACCTGATGAACATTATGCATTGTAGTTTGGTTGGATTTTCTTTTTTATTGACGTATTTTATGTGGATTTTCCAATTACTCCTCCTAATGGTAGGAAGCGAAGAAACAGATCTACCAAAGAGCCCTGAAAGCAGCAAGCAATTTTGGCTACCAAAAGAAGAGTCCCGAGTAAGCGCCCTATCATGTCTATATGAGTTGTGATCCAAGCGACCCATATCAAGCAGTTGGGGAACGAGTGTCCGTCTGAGAATTCTAACGTAAAGCAACTTGAGAGCGCTCATGTTTCACGATTTATATTATTACGCAATGAATGTTTGATTTTTGTTTCTTACTTTATGATATTATCACATGGTGTGCTGTGTATCAGAAACTAGTTATTGAGGTGTTTTTCCGTTAAGAGTCTAAATCTAACAAGAAGTAAAGTTTTGAGAGGACATGATTAGAAGACTTGATGGTCTGGTGACTTTGTTCAATCTACTACGAGCATGTTTTGAATTACGGCTCTTCAAAGGTTGAATCTGTCAAGGTTCTGATGATGTTGTTTACAGTCCACAAATGAATTGAGAACACGTCTAGTGACTTTACAAGTGTAACAAGTGTGATAGGTTATAAAGCCTATTCACTGAAATCAATTTAGAAGCGTCAGTGTTTTGGTTTTATTTGTATCGTTGTAGGGAGATTCTACAGACCACCAGAGGCCAAAATGATGCATTTTGAGTCTGCGCCACGAGAGATCTATTGATTTCCTTACCTGCCTTTTCATCCTCTGTTCTTCTCAGGGCGTTGGTGCATGCAGCTGTCATCTCTGCTTTTCTAACCATTGCTCAAGCCATGTCTGATCAAGGATGCGTATAGAAGTCAGGGATAACATATTCATCCACAAGCTTCACTAAAGTTGTATGATTTCTGAAGAAGGCACTCCTTGGCTTGAAGATGATTGATCATTATCTGCGCCGTGCGGATCCTTAATGCCAGGGAAGGTCCAAGATCTGAACCTCGACATGTGTAATATCAACTGAGACACAAAAAGCTAATCGGTGAGGGGTTAATTACAACATATTTTATTGTAAAAATATCCGTAGTTCTTGTGGTAGAATAGAAGGACGCTAGAGCCCGAAGGGGTGTGTGTTCTATTCTGGACCCATTAACCAATCCAGATGTTGCAGTCTTGTGAAATATTAGAATACTGTGAATAGAAATAAAATCAATCATTCATCGTTTGCTATTCCGAGAAAAATGCTCCTTGGCTTTATATTCTGATTTTTCAACTCGTAACTCGAACATGGCTTTATATTCATGAATTTTGTCATGCTGGTGTAGTTTTTAACAAGCTCGATAAGTGGAAAAATGCCCATTTACATGTATCTAGTGGCGCAAGAGAAGGATGTTCTCCTTCATCCATGGGAGCTCCATCTCAAACAGTTGAAACGATCAGATCCTTTCTGTTTATCAGCCATTGCGAATCTGCATCTTCAGTATAGTTTCCATTTGTTGGAATGAAGCCTTAACGTGCTGGAGCTCGAGATTGAGACTTGTGAGAGGCTTGGAAGGCTGGATATGTCACGCCGTCGCTGCTTACCAAGACTTTATTTTCACGTTTTTCTGCCAGTAACAATGTCCACACGTAGTGGTAATGGATTAACTTAGCAAATAGAGTACTTCAATTCATGTGCTACATTTTTCTCAACTTGTTCTAAATTCTGGATTGCATCTCTACATTAACCCCTCCTGCCCCTCCCTTGAACAAAAGGAAATCCCTCGGATCTACACATCCCTCTTCCTCAGCTGATACACTTGCCTCCCCTTCGACAACCTTAATTACGACACCAAATACTTTCATTTACACAGCTCTCCTCGGAGCGTGAGGAGTCAGATTTCTCCGCCAGATAGTGCTCAAGCATATCTTCTTCATCATCTGCCATTACATCACAGAAAGGACATACTTCAACAGGATGCATGTGATAAAGTTCCAACATTTAAATTCAAGTTACCAGATAAAATTTCCATGCCAATAAAATGCCAAAACTATTAATTGTAGACCATGAAGATAAAGAATCACCTTCAAAATCATCGTCACCAAAATCAATTTCTTCCTCATCTTCCGCATCAGATCCTTCATTGACTGCTACTGCACCTTTCTGCAGAAGGGATTCAACATGTTATTTACCTTTTAGCATAAAAGAGGTTCCCTTAGAAATTGGAATGCAATTCTATCTAAAAATGAACCCTTCTCTATGATAGACATCTAGAGTAGAACCCAACTTGCTGTTGATATGTGCCAGCAAAAGTTGTATGAGAGAATTCAAATTATTTTAGAAGCTATATTGCTTTTATCTTATGGACTCGGGTCTATGATTTAGAGTGGCCAGTAAAAATGACAATATATCAAGCCATCCCAGTGCTAACAATCTAAATCAAAGTTGATCTCAAATGTTACTATATGCCTTTAATCAAGTGAAATAGCCAACTCAATGAAAGGATGAATTAATGACATCCAAGAGCATTGATGGTTCATCTTGATTCATATTTCTTGACCTAAAATAAAATTTCATCAGCCAAGGGCTTAGCACTGGGGGGAAAAGAATAATTTTATTTAATCATCCATTCCAAACTTGATTAAACATTATTGTATCATTAGTTGAAATTGAGCAAATGGGATATGATCACTAACGCAGGTAAGGATGCAATATTAGCAAACAGGATGGCTGCTATAGCTAAGGTAGGGAAGCATTATTAGCGAACAGGATGACTGCTGCAGCTCAGCCACCAAGAAACCATACATCATCAGAGATACTAAATATTTTAGATGTTATGGTTTAGAGCAGTCTATTAAGTGCACATTTTGGGAATATCATCAAATCTTAACATGGGAAATTGAATTGTGCATCCACTTTATAAGAGGGAGGAAAAGTCAGGGATAGCATACCACTTTTCCACTTTCATACCACAGTCTGCCTGTAAGCTTCTTCTCCTTCGGGGCTGTGAGGGCAGACTCTGGCATCAGCCTGAAAAATGGTCCCAGACATTAGTCATGAATTAATGGTTGAACAAAAATTTATTCCAGGGATCCGATTATAATCTAAGAAAATAGGAGTTTACATAAAATGCAGCACATGGTTTTTTGTGAGGTGAGATGTACAAGAAAATCATCTGAAACTGCGTATCCACTTTTCCTTACATGGTAGCATAACATGCTTGCTAATATAAAACGTAAAAAGACATCTATTAAACAAATGACTCAACTATTTATCGCCCATAACATGAAGAACATCATCGCTTGGAATTAAAAAAAAGGCTTCTAGATTGTTTGTGATTTAAACCTAGTGCTAAATAGAAAATTGACAAATTAAAATAATGAGTAAATTGCAATACCGCTCCCCCCCTCCTGAAAGTTTCAAAGTTTGACAAGAAACTCCTCCCCATTCAAGAAAATATTACATAAATCACCTTTTATGCCACAATGCTCATACCATCAAATAGGGTAGTTTTAAACCTGTTAAGGTCATTTTGGATATAAAATGCAGTTTTTGTTGTTTATTTAAAATATAGAAGGGGGCATCTATCAAGCATTCAAGCTTTGGGAAGTGCTTTTAATTTCAAGACAGCACTGGGGGTTAGTATAAACATAAAAGAAGGCTTCTTCAGTGAGATGAACAAACCAATTCACTCTTGTAGTGTATTCAAAATGAAATCTGTTCTTGTTGAAGTTCCACAACTAGTCTTGGCAAACTCAGATGAACAAGCACCTTTATTCTCTTCTTTTCTCCTGTTCTTTATACAAGCAAATAGAACCTATAGGTGGGTTGTCCATCCTAATGCATGATAAGTCTACTGTATGATTAGTCTTTTGCTTGGCATGAAGTCAACAATTCTCTTGCACATGAGAGCAAAAAAATATTTTGAAAGTTACCTCCTAAAAGTAGCAAATGATGCTAACTTCGTCAAGGTTTGACCACCTCCCTCTATCGAATTGTTTTCAAAGTGAACATTAACAAAAAAGAATGAGAACCAGCAACCTTATCTCAATTAGTAATAGTTAGCTTTAAACCCAACAAGTTCTAAAATCATTCAACTATCAGTTTGCAGCAACAATCCGTTGCACAAGTTTTGCAATTGAACTGTGTCCAAACAAGCCCACCATCAAACTAGACAAAGGTAGTCGGCCTCACAGAAATTATTAAATTCTTTCCAGGTCAACCTCATGAACATAATAGGCAACCCTATACACTTGCTCCATACCCTATGAAAAAAGGGTAGCTATGCCAACTAACAAATTTTATTTAGGGTTAAAAAGACACCACGACACAATAACGACAAAGACAAACAATAAATATGATGATTTTGTTTCCTAACTGTGGATGGTAAGGTTTCAAGGTTAGAAACATATCCAAATAACAGAATTGGAATGGAACCTTGACCCTGAAATATAGTCCTCAAATAATAGGACTTACTTGGCTCGCTCAAGGGCCAACTCTGCTTCAAATATTTCTCTCCAAGCCAAAAATGTCTCAACAGTAACAGGTTCTCCATGTGGGACAATTACCTGTAAATGGATTAATGAGCAAGAAGTGGCTTCTTAAGAAAATAAAAATGACATCAGCAAACATCTGAAATTATCAATGCACAGTGATTTGGTAAGCTTTTGAGATCAAGTGGACATATCTTGGAATGCTAAATTATGTTTTCACTTAAATCTAGTAAGAATGCAGCCAACAAAAAAGAAAAATTCACAGAGGAATACATACATCATCTTTTGCTGCCTCTTCGTTTTCAATGTCCTCATTGATAGCATCTTGACAATATCTTTCAGACAGCCACTCTTTAGCAGATGTAACTAGCGTGTAGACCATCGCCATACCAAGATTTTCAAATGACTATCAAGTCAAATTATTAGAATAACCTCACAGTTTCCTGAATTGTATATTCACTTTATGGTATAAACATATTTTGCCAAACAAAAATAAACAGCTTATTCGCTTAGAGGGTAGATTTTAGTTCTTATAACTATCCTTATCCCAGGGAATCAAGGATCTAGACTTGAATATTTTGCTGGTCTACAGAATTTACACTTTTGTAGTGCCCCATGTCATCTCAGTTCTTGCTCTTCCTAAGTGGTTTTTGAGGCTTTTTCTGTTGTATTTACCCAATCACTGTCTCAGGTAACACATCACGAAGAGAGTGCATTAACATTCCACGGCATTTCCAAGCATGAGAAATTGTTAGACATAGCTCCATCATATGAATGATACCTCCATAGCTTGACTACATTCTTAAAAGGTATAGTAAAAAATAAAAATAGAGTTCAAGTAATTACCTCTTGCTCAAGCTTTTCTTTCAAAATTTTAAGATAATCTGCTTGGATACCTCGTATGCTGGAACAGAGAGGAACAACAATCAGATGTCTCTGGGCATGGTTCATCTAAATAATACTACAATTATAGGTCATACTTTTATCACATCACAGTAGTCATTTTGATACATGTTACAACAGTATCATCCAGCTCTTGCACCACACAGCCCATCAACTGACTTAACAAGATAGGTGGTTTAAACACTTTTGGAACGTTTAGCAAAGCGGTGAGAACTCAACAGCCTTTCTATGCTTATTATATTTTTGTAGGTCAGACTTTCTAATGAGTGAAAAGAATACTTTTGAAAAAAGCACTTAGTGCAGGTTAGCTGCCTCTGTGGCTTGCACTTCAAAATTGATATCCTGTCAGTGCTTACACTATAAAATAATGAAAAAAAATGTGAAAAAAAAAAGTCTACTTGCAAAACACTAAGGGATTCTGTTTCATGAAAATTAAGTTTAAGATTTCTATGGTTTCATGATAATAGCATTTAATGAAAATCTATGCACAATCCACAATGAATTTACAAAGAATTTCCATTACACTTTCAACATAGAGAACCATCAAGGTTGATATGGAGACCCTACAGAAGAAGAAACCAGTAGCATGCAATAACTGTATATCTAGTCACTTTTGCTGCAGGTAACCTGGTTGCTGTACCACTCTCATTCGCCTTTTCACGAGCTGCTGGTTGTAACTAGATTTTGGATATGACAGCGCAGCAGTGGAAACAACATTGTAGCAGAGACATGAACACAAGTTGATGCAACCATGGAAAAAGGAAGCTAGTTTTTCTTGCAATTTTCAGATTGGCAAATGCAGCTTCTCCTTATGAGTTGAGAGTTGTGAGCAGTGAGGGGTGCCCATGAGGCATCATAAATAAAAAGCTTCAAGTCTTTCAATAAGGTCACTACCTTACTGATTTCATGAACAAATTATCTTATTGTTTCAGTTTCAATTTTTGGTAATTCTGCAACCACAATTTCCTTCTGTATTTTGGCACTTTGGTCAATTTTCTAAGAATTTTATGAATCTGAGGTTTATTTTCTCTAGTTCCAAGTCAGTCTTGATATTGACAATAAAATTTCCTATACAGCATTCCGAAATGTCCATGAATAATCAAGCCTTCTATTATAATCTGGGTCCAAGGCATGTGTGCCTCTAATGTCTTCACCTCCCCCTCTCTTATTTCTCTCTTTCTTCTTTTTTAATCTTTCAACTCAATTGGATTTCAGAAGAAGGTAGCAAATAGGAAAACAGTGGTCCTTTGCTGTTACATGTTTGTGTGGTATTTGAGAAGCATTTAACAAATCAAGGAAAGCACTCGGAGAGCAAAGTCGAGCTCCACAGACAAAAAAAAGAGTAATTTTCTTTCAAGTAATACATTTTAATTTTGAATGGAGATAGAGAACACTAAATCAAAAAAGGAACACCTCCAAATGGGAATGTCTGCAAAATGTACATGCTAACCTCTTCACATTCAAAAGTGGTGGTTCATCTGGATACTTTACTGTGTGGGAGAAAACTAGACCTAGCTGAACTGCAAAAGAAATGGGAAAGAACTTAATAAATAAATACTCAAGTCTGATCAAAGGAGGGCACCCACCAAAACAGTCCTAAGAGCAAAACATGAAGTTGAATTTAACAGGATGGCTATGGCAGTTTCTTAAAGCCTGTAGGAAGCTGGGATAACCTTCATTTACTGATCTAGCAAAAATCAAAACATGTTTATTGCACCAAAATAAAGAGAATAACCTGGAATGTCAGTAGACTCATCCGTGTCATCATCCTGTTTACCACAGAGCAAAGTATTACATGTGAAGAAAAACGAGAAAATTAATATTTTCCAGCCAGTGCTAAAATACAAAGAGAAAAAAAACTTAAAAGAGTGATCCAATCTGATAGAATGGATGTAAAGTAAGAAGAACAAACCAACCAACCTGTGGGGAAATTATTATTTGGAAGCAACGATTAGAAGTATTTAAGCCACTCTCGCTAGAATGAATTTCTGCCATTGCATATTATTAGTTTGTTTACTAGGGAAAACAAAAAAGAAAGAAATAAGGTACCTTCGAACTCATCCATGAGTATGGCTTCCAATGCTTCAATTTCCATCTCCTGCTCCTGCCCATAGTCTGCCAATCCGTTTCATTCAATCAATCAATCAGTTCTTAACACATAGATATAAACATGCCCCATTGCTGCCGCGCAGCACAGCACTCCTCTACTGGGAAGGAACTGATTATCAACCAACCAATATATGTAATCATAAACAATATATTCAAAAAAAAAAACCCATTAAGAAAATCAAAGGAAATTACCAGTCATAGTCGATAATTTGCTTTTTTATTGAATTTCAATCTCTCTCTGTATCTCAGTTTCTCCTGCGGGCTGTCGCTATCTTTTCTTTGCTATAGAAGATTAACACCGCCTCCTCAACAAAGCCAAAACCTAATAAAGCAACCCGGACCGGGATTTAAAACAAACCGGGTCCCAAATTTAAGATTTTATTTTGTTACCTAAAAAGAATTATTAAATGTTTCGTTTATTTATAATTACTAGATTTAATACCAACACTACATGTGTAAGATTCTAAGTTGATTTTTATAATATATCAATGTTATGAATCTCTATTAGCATATCATACATTGGTTTCTCAAATATCGCAATAAAAATAATAAAATAAAATTATTCATGAGTTCATAAATCCTTAAAATTTTATTAGACAAATTTAGAATTATTTAGAAGATTTATTATCTAAAAATTTAATATTTTTTTACTTTGAATAATTATTTAAGTGGTAAATTATAGTAAATTATAAGTTGTTTAATTATCCAACCTCCAACAATAATCAATACAAATCACCAATGACAAATCTCTTAAATCTTTATTGAGGATAAAGAAATTACTATGCTTAGAATGTTAGCTCTTTATTTTGTAACTTGTATAATTTTTATGTCTAACATACAACCACACTTAAAAAATATAAGGTATAACTTACTATTTATAAAAAAATCTGAAAAATCTTATAAATTAAAAAAAAATTAATTTGTCCTCTGAATAATATCTATATATTAAATGAGGATAGTTTTAGAAATTAACTCAATCAAGTCCTTACATGGTTTTTCTATTTTTAGTAATATAATACTTGTATTAATTATATTTTAATCCTTAATTTCTAAAATATATTTTAATCAAGTTATACTTAATTAAGTTATCCTGGTTTAATTTATAACTAATTGTTCTTAATGTGCGTGACCCATTAGGTTTTTAATATGTTGGCTCAAATATAAATTAAATATAAATAAATAAATAAAATAATTTAATTTATTATCAATTCAACAATTGAGTAATTAATATGTGAGAATCAAGTGTATCATATAGCAACGTGTTATGATCCCTCAAATATTAAAAAAGTCATTATTAGTTTGAATTAACTTGACTTAACTTTTTAGTGATTGGTTTCTCGGTGTAACTAATATCCTTTCAAAAATAATGTTCTGATTTATAATTAAAATATAGAGTATGTCCATCATGTTAAATCATATTTGTTCTCTACATAATAATCATTTGAATAAAATTTAAATTTTTTTTTCAAATCTCATTCCACTTGGCTAATGATTAGTACTTAAAAGTGTATTTTTATCAAAGTTTTATATCATTATTTTTACACTTGAAATATCAATAATTTCTTAACTAGAGCATGTTTTATAATATCAAAATATTATAAGATACCATGGATGGAAAGCTAAGATACAGGCCTAAAATATTCATGAGTTATCCAAAACTCAATTCTGTCGTTTGAAAGTCTAAATCTTAGCATCAAAAGAGAAGTTAAAATCTATCATACAGCCCAAACACTAATCAGTGTTTACCCATATCTTGAGTTCTAGAAGTCCAAATAACCTTAAAAAAAAATTTGTTGGAAAGCGGAGAAAATTTCCTAGAACTTTCATAAATTAAGTCTATCCAAATTCTGATACTAGCAATGATATTTTGTTCAAACAAGAAGATAAGGATTGACACCAAGTTAAGATTTGGTCACCCACTCAACAATTAGTCAACAAATCAATAGTTCCTAATTTTTTCCTATAAAAAGAGACATTTGTTATGTATTTAGGCATTTTAGTTTTCAGATCATGATCATGTTCTTACTCTTTTTCTTTATATTTTTATAATGTTTAAGTTTTGCTTTCGTTAATCTCTTGTTTATACTTTTTCATTTTCTTTCCTTTACTTAATTAATTTATATTTTATTTATGTTATTATCTTGTTTATTTATATTTCTCTTCTATCATTATGTTTAGTTAAGTTTATTGTGTCAAGATGAAAAGATTACACTAATGGTATAAGAATAAGTATAGTGTAAACTCAACATGAACTTTAAGTTTATAATATGTTTTGTATTTATTATCTTGTTTACTCTTAATACTTTGCTTGTTAAATGGTTAATCTAGATTTCTATTGTATAACCCTTGGTACAACAAATACTAGGCACTTCATAGCCCAACCATACGGTGTAATTGACACTTGTGCTATAAAAGAAACTTAATTTGTTGTTAACTTAAGTTATAATCATGAATACCTGACAACATTTATAATATTAGCATTATTAGAATAAGATAACTAATGTAATCATATTAACTATTTATAATCCGATGGTAACCTTCTTTGTGTGTGGTTTCCAATTGAGTAATTGATTAGTACTTAAAAGTGCATTTTTATCAAGGTTTTATATCATCATTTTGCACTTGAAGTATCAATAACTCCTTAACTAAAGCATGTTTTATAATAAGATATCTAATAATATAAGATACCTTTAATTTAAGGTAAATGTTCATTTTAAATTGAGGCCTATCACATAAATAAAAGGATTGATTGATGAATTTAAGAACTGAAATTGAAAGGATAAAGAGATGGCCAAACTTAGAAAAGAGATGTCGGTGCAATCCAAACCGGAACACTGTTCGGTAAATGGGTCATATCTGGAGCTATATATCTCAGATTTAGGTCCAATTTATATGGATGGAAAGGTAAGACATAGGCCTACAACTTTCATATGGAGCCCAAGATCTAAAAAGGCCATTATCAAGTCCAAATTGTAGCAACAACAAAGAAGCCCGAATCTGTCTTCCAGCCCGAGCACTGTTCGGTATTTTGGCCATATCTGGAGTTCTAGAAGTCCAAATGAGCTGAATGTTTTACACAAGAAAGCTGAGACAATTGCCTACAACTTTCATGTTTGCAACTGGCTCCAGTTTTGACGTTATCAATGACGTTTTGGGCAGACAAGAGAAGATAAGGATTATCACCAAGTCAAAAGTTGGCCACCCACTTATCAATTAGTCATCAAATCAATAGTTCCCATTTTTGGCCTATAAAAGGAGGCATTTGCCATGCATTTAGGCATCTTGGTGTTCAGATCAAGATCATGCTCTTCCTTTCTCTCTTTGTATTTTTTATGCTTTGTTTTCATTAATATTAAGTTTATGCCTTTCATTTCCTTTCCTTTACTTAGTTAACTTTTATGTTCTTATTTTGTTTATCTATTTTGCTTTCTTTCATTATGTCTAGCTAAGTTAATTATGTCAAGGTGAAAAGGTTACACTAATGGTGTAAGAATAAGTATAATGTAAACTTAATATGGACTTTAATGTTTGATACTAACATGTTTTATATTTGTTATCTTGTTCACTCTTTAATACTTTGCTTGTTAAATAACTAATCTTGATTTATGTTGTATAACACTTGGTACAACAAATGCTTGGCACTTTCATAGCCCATAATGTATGGTATAACCGACACCTGAGCTATGAAAGGAACTTGATTTATTGTTAACATAAGTTATAATCATGAATGCTTGACGAGATTTACAAGTATTAGCATTAATTGAATAAGATGACTAATGTAATCATGTTAACAATATATAATCTGATTGGAACCTCCTTTGTGTGTGGTTTCCAATTCAATAATAAGAGTTTATACTATACTTGTTTGATATACCATTAGTGGAACCTCTAACCTTGACATTTGTTATTATCATTGTTTAATCGTTACATTAATATTCCATCTCAAAGTTCTCATCTTCTTCTTCTTCTTCTCCTTCTTTTTCTTTATTATTATTATTATTATTATTATTA